GATAGGTAGATAGATAGATAAATAGATATAATGATATATAGATAGATATATAGATAGATAGATATAATGATAGATAGATGGATAGATACAATTCTTCTAAATCTAACACTCTCAGATCCGTGAAACTAAAACTCTTTTTGCCAAATTTTCGGTTTATTTAACCTACTTCAAGCTGGCATATTCTAAACAACATACAAAATAACAAACTTGAATAATAGATGTTCAAAATTTAAAAGAATTAAAAGATAAAAGTAATAATATTTAAATAAAAAGATTTCAAATGTGATACCTTGCTTTAACTCGACCAAAGATTAATTAACTAAATATAAGATAGAATTTGATGAATGGTGGTGGTCAAATCTAGGGTAGGGGGGGGGGGGTGGAGGAGGAGGATAAATAGATTGATAGATAGAAGGATAGATTGATAGATAGATAGATATCATTTGGATAAGACTTAAGAGACTATTGTATGGAATTTGTTCAGTCTTGTATCTTACAATAAACTTAAATGCAGCCTAACATTTACTTAAAATTTACCATTAAAATGCAAAATATAACGCACGGGCAGCCGTAGAGCATTTGAATTTCCGAGCCGGGTCAACCTTTTCTGGTCCTTGTTTGTACTATATCGCCTGGACATTGGTTAAATAAAGCAGACACTCAATAGGACTAGCCAGTGCAACAAGGTTGACGCGGTCAGACTTTAGGTTGAATTTACTTTTACTTAAGGGTCAGGGGTGCGTGAACGGGTGAAATATCAAATAAATATTGAATAAAGCAGACACTCAATAGGACTAGCCGGTGCAACAAGGTTGACGCGGTTAGACTTTAGGTTTAATTTACTTTTATGTCGTAATTGAAGACTTAATCTTTCTGGGTAACCCTGTATACGTAATGCAGACTAATTTGAGAGTAATCCAAGGAGTATGGATTAGAAGGGAGACACAACTGACGCGGCCCGCCCTACCATGTGATTATACATGCTTTGCAAACGGTACTCCATTTGTATAAGAAATATTCAGAATAGGTTATTGTATACGCGGTAATTGTACATCAGACAAATATTTCTTATTTAAATGAAGTACTGTCTCCCATACTGGAGTAATCAAGAAATAGTTCTCTTGAAAATTGTTCTGTAGATATTTAACCTTATGAATACATAGAAAATATTTAATGTAAAAGTTTAGGACATTTTTAAGATATTATCTCAATTTTACTCTTGATTAAACCCCAGGCTTTCTCATTCTTAACATTAATTGACCACTTACTTCTGTTGTATTTTAGTTTTTGTTAAACATTTTCCATTTATTAATTTCTTCTGCATTATTATTGGAATGCCACGGTAGACTTTTTTATTTAGTTTTATAATATCATTGCATTTTATTTTTTTTCGTTGCATTTTTATTTGTGTTTTCATTGAATTTCTGTTTTCATTGAATTTCTGTTTTCATTAAATTTCCATTTTCATTGAATTTCTGTTTTCAATGAATTTCTGTTTTCAATGAATTTCTGTTTTCAATGAATTTCTGTTTTCAATGAATTTCTGTTTTCAATGAATTTTTGTTTTCATTGAATTTCTGTTTTCAATGAATTTCTTTTTTCATTGAACTTTTGCTTCCCTTGAATTTCTGTTTTCAATGAATATCAGTTTTCATTGAACTTCTGCTTTCTTTGAATTTCCGTTTTCATTGAATTTCTGTTTTCATTGTATTTCTTTTTTCATTGAATTTCTGTTTTCATTGAATTTCTTTTTTTATTGAATTTCTGTTTTCCTTGAATTTCTGTTTTCATTGAATTTCTGTTTTTATTGAATTTCTGTTTTCAATGAATTTCTATTTTTAATGAATTTCTGTTTTCATTGAATTTCTTTTTTCATTGAATTTCTGTTTTCATTGAATTTCTGTTTTCATTGAATTTCTGTTTTAATGAATTTCTGTTTTCAATGAATATCAGTTTTCATTGAATTTCTGCTTTGTTTGAATTTCTGTTTTCATTGTATTTTTATTTCTGTTGTACTTTTACTTTTATTGTCTTTTTATTCCTGTTGTATTTGAATTTCTTTTTTAATTTTTTTTTCTTCTATTTTCCAACGCAAGTTTCACAATATAAATAGCTGGAGCTATAAAAAATATTTGAAACTATGCTGCAGGGACTAGGGAGGTAGGGAGGGAGGGTAGGGAGTTAGGGAGGAAGGGTAGGGAGGTAGGAAGGGTCAACCTCACTGTTTTAGAAAACCACTTTAATAACTTTTCAACTTTTCATAATAAAGTAATAACGATACGATTAATAAACCTCTTTTAGAATAAAATAAACTCTTTTATTTCTAAATTTTAGGTTATTGTCTTGTTTTTGAAAGCTTAACAATAGCACTCTAGGTTTTAACCATTTTTTTCTCTGAAAACGTAATTTCATTAGTTTTTTTAGAAATTTAAAACAAAACAAAAAACAATGTTCTTTTTTTGGATTGTTTTAAACAGGACTACCGGTGCACATCCCTAGCTGGTCAATTTAATCTAGGAAAATAAAATTTAAAGTAAAGTAAAGTAAAAAATTATTTACTTATGAAATATAACAAAAACATACAAAATAAAGTGTTTCAGGAGAAAATATTTAAAAACCTCTAAAAGTAGAGGTTGTGGGAATATTTCCCCCCAATTCTAAAAAAAATATAAAACTAGAACTAAAAGGAAAAGGAAAGGAAAGTATAAGTAAAGTTACATATTTATTGTTTACACTATATTTAAATAAGTGGTGGATTGTTAGTATTGTTAGTATTGTTAGTATTGTTAGTATTTTATGATATATTGCCATGCAATTAATTAATTAATTAATGCAATTAATCCGATTTTGTGATCCTTTAATTTGCATTCTACGTCCAAGCTGTGTAAGAAAAAATGTATTTAATTGCATAAAAATTTCAACCTGTTTTTTCTTTAATTAAATATCTGTTTTAAAGTTTAATTTCGACTTAAGGAAACTATATACAAATGCGTCGACAAATAATCGACGACTATATTGTTTGTAATATTTAAATAATTTGTTTGGAATTAAATTGATTATTTTACGATCCAAGTTGAATGTTGCAGCTTTCCGAATTTGTATGGATCGAGTCGTTTTTAACAATATAGTATAGAAGTAAGATTAGTAGCAATCAAAAGCGCTCATTTTTCGCTGTAAGCCTATAGCCCCATTCATTTTTCGAGAACAATCCCTTTATGGAAAAGGTAGAATTCATGATGTATTACCAATTCGATTTTGTGATCGTTTTGATTCTGCTATATAAGAAAAAGTGTATTTAGTTGCAAAAAGATTAACCCTATTTAACCTGACTTCTGGTTTACTGACTGGCTGTCTAGGGGGGGGGGTCAAATTGATCCCCCCCCCCTCCATTTTCTTATTGTGATACAAATCCTTAACATTTGATACGTTTTTGGAAAGCACTCGGCCTTTACTATAATAATCTGCAAAAGAAAGTCGAAGGTTTGCAAAAATCCTAACGTTTATTGCGGAATAAAGTTATTAAGCAAAAAATGCACAATTTTTGTTGCGCAAATTGCATAAATTTATACATTTTTGGAAAGCCCTTAACCCAGCGAATTTAAATATGCAAAAACATTTGCAAAAATTTTAAAACTAAATGTGTATTCAAGAAAAACTGAAAATGTACAAATTACCTTTTAAGGCGTCTGTGTAAAAATCTGTGCAGTCTGGTATTGGTAAAATAAGGCATCTAAGTAGTATGCCTGAGGATAAAAGCTCAGCTGTTAGCCGAAAGTGATGGGGCATCTGTTAGTTAGCAAAGCCAGAAAATTTGAGCTTCCTAGTTATCGCAAAAAAAACAATGGGGAGAGGGTTAAACATTTTTTTCTACTTTGAATTGCTGTTTAAAAAAAAGGAATTAAGATTGAAATAACGGAGTCCAGGATCTATCAACATCGTCAGAAGTAAAATCAAAGAAATCCAATTATTATGTATTAAATAGGTATCAATTATTATGGGGAGGGTTTAAAGAAAATGGCAAAAAAGATCGCTAAAATATCTTTTTAACCCTATCCCCGCTGGGGTACTTGAAAACCAGGATACGCTGGGGGGGGGTCAATTTGACCCCCCCCCCTCTAAATCCCATGTTTTATGTCCAAATATGACAAATGATACATCATTAGAAAGCTCTTGTGCTCTACTTTTAGAATCTGCAAAAAAATTTGCAAATTTGCGAAAATTGAATTTTTTATCGCAAAATCCAGTTTTATAGTAAAAATGTTTGCAAAAAAAAATTTGTCCAAAAAATGAAAAATTATACATTTTTGAAAAGCCCTTGACCATGCCATTTCAAATATGCAAAAATTTTTGCAAAATTTTAAATAACCTGATTTTTAATCAAGAAAAACTAAAAATGTGCAAATTTCCTTTGACAGGTTTTTTGCAAAAAATTTGCAATTTTTTTTTCGCAAAACTTATGCAATCCGTTTCCTTATGTCAAAGGCTTTCCAAAAAGCTAAATTTTATCAAAATCTGACAAGTGAAAGTGGGTCAAAACAAAGATTTAGTTTGTTCCATGCAAAAGCAGTCATTCAGGCAGTGTGCCTAAGGACTCAGGCAGTTAGTATTAAAGCCCGGTTTTAGGCCTAAAGGGAGGGCTTTGGGTATGTAAGAAAAATCAGAAAATTTCAACAGCCTCAGACCAATACTTTTTGAGTTATGTAGAACAAACTACAGGGGGGGGTTAAATTGACCCCCCCCCCCCCAGCAGGAATAGGGTTAAAAGTATTTTATAAGCTATTCGAAAATTAACTTAGCTTGTGGACTATTTAAAAAACAGGCCTTTCGACCGTGCAATACTATTTGAATAGCAAAAAAGTTAGCAAAAAATCCGTAATCTGAGAGTGCTAGGAGAAAAAAACTAGGGGGGGGGGAGTCCGCCCCCGGTCTGTTTAGGGTTAAAAAAGGAAAGCACTCTGAAGGATTAAGAGTATTAAGAGAGGGAGGAGGGTTCGTATATAAGGTTGAGAATAAACAATATTTGATCATTAAAAATAAAAATGCGAGCTGCTGGTTTCCTTCTCTTCGTTCTGATTGGTGGGACGGTAATAATATATATTTATATATTTTCGATATTTCAGAATCGATCTCATTCAAATTTGGATTTTTAAATTATTCTTAATCAGGTTTAAAGGAAACCGTTGTTAATTGAACATGCAACTCTTGAAGCTTAAGGAGAGTAGAAATATCGTTTCAATAAGATTTTTTTTTTGAAGGGACATACCTGCTATGTATGGTAGTTGAAATGAGTATGGAGTGTTGTGGAGAAATTCTTTCTAGGATTCATTTGAGACATACAACTTTTTAAAGATCTGTAAATCATGATTTTGAGCGCAAAGTCGACGTTCAAAATCGTACTTTTACGTTTTCAGAATTGTTTTTTTAGTTATAAAATAATGACGACAAAAAATGTAAACAAAATTCAATAGTAAACTAATTTATTGTTTAGGAAAAGATTGAGAAAATAAAAATTAATCATATCATCGAAAAAAAGTAATCTTATTCAATTATTAGTATCTATAATCTCTCAATTAATCACAAAGATTTTCTGCAGATTTTCTGGATTTTTTATTGAAAAGACGACAATTGAAGAATTTTTTGAAATCTGCGAATAAATTCATAGTAAATAAGAAATTCAATATAATGATGAAATCAAACTATAATTGATTCTAGCATTGATTTAATAACAAATTTCTTTTGTGAAATAAGTTCCTAACCATCTCTAATAATTTTTTCTTTATTTTTTGTCGTCGTTATTTAATAATTAAAAAAACAATTATGAAAACGTACCCATGATTTTGAACGTCGACTATGCACTCAAACTCAAACATCATAAAGAATTTTTCCACAACACTGCATACTCAGTTTAACAACCTTACATAACCGGTCTGTCCCTTTAAATTGTGTCTTGTTATTATTGTTAATAGCTTTACAATTAAAAATGTTATAAAATGTTTTATAGGTTTTGCATTAAGTATGATTTTATTTCAATTGCAGCAAACACTATTTCTATATATATATATATGTTGCGTATAGCCGGCCAAACGGCTGGACCAATTGGGCTGAAATTTTTTGTGGACACTCATTGGTAGCCGGGGAGTGTTATAGGCTAAAAAATCGATTTTTTTTCATTTTTTCCACGGGCAACGCCGGGCCTTTCAGTTAGTATGTTATAAATTAAAAAAAAAATTCTTCTCAATAAATATTAAAAAAGAGGAAATATGATTGAAAATATTTTTGCTTGTAATTTACATCAGTTTAACCTGATACAGATTACTATGTATAATAGTTTGAGGAGAGTGTTAAATTTATTGATGAATATGTCGAAATTGAACGATCTTTTTCCATAGATCGGTCACTTGATCCAGCCCCCGGTATCTAGCGAGTGGGATCAGGAGGATCGGGAGGATCTAAATCTCGACAAATCGCCGGATGTAACGAAAATCAGGTTTTAAGAAGCATCAAAAATTGCTAAATTATGTCAGTTTGGTAAATTATGTCAGTTTGGTAAATTATGTCAGTTTGGTAAATTTAGTCAGTTTTGTAAATTATGTCAGTTTGGTAAATTATGTCAGTTTGGTAAATTATGTCAGTTTGGTAAATTATGTCAGTTTGGTAAATTATATCAGTTTGATAAATTATGTCAGTTTGGTAAATTATGTCAGTTTGGTAAATGAAAAAGTTTGGAGAGCCTTAAATGCTTTGTCTGATCAAGATAATGAGATATTCAAGATATTTCTTTAAAAAATTGATAAACTTTTCAAGCCAAAAACAATGACGATATGTTTCCAGATTATTGATCATAAAAGGTTAAAAGGGTTTATACTGGATTAAAAAAGCTTCTCATGCAAAGGAATTGAGTTTTTGACACAAACTCAAATTTTCTAATCCATTGCAGCTTGATGTTGCAAACCTTTGATATTTCAAACTTAGATTATAAGGTCTAACAGAATTTATAGGTAGAAATATCATAGATTGCAAAGATATAGGGATTGAAAAATTAGAGTTTGAGACAAAAATTATTTTGTTTGTTTGTGACATTCGTTTTTTATAACTATACAAACCATTGAAAACTTTTTACTGTTCAGAATGCAGGATTTGTATGGTCCAATTCTATTCGGAGGACGATTTGGGCCACATGTCAGGTAATTCAGACATGGTCCAATCCTATTTGGAGGACGATTTGGGCCACATGTCAGGTAATATCGAATTAATATGGTCCAATCCTATTTGGAGGACGACTTAGGCCAAGGGTCAGGTAATCCAGAATTTATATGGTCCAATCCTATTTAGAGAACAATTTGGGCCATGGGTCAGGTAATACAGAATGAATCCTATTTGGAGGACGATTTGGGTCACATGTCAGGTAATATCGAATTTATATGGTCCAATCCTATTTGGAGGACGATTTAGGCTACATAACATTTAATACAGAATTTATATGGTCCAATTCTATTTGGAGGACGATTTGGGCCACATGTCCTCAGGTAATCCAGAGTTTATATGGTCCAATCCTATTTGGAGGACGATTTAGGCCAAGGGTCAGGTAATACAGAATTGATTAGTCCAATCTTATTTGTTGGACGATTCGGGTTTTGATCGGTTTAATCAAGATCTTAATCTGACTGGTTCTATCAAGTTGATCACAATCTATTGTTTGCTTTATCTCGTGATCTGTCTGGTTCAATCAGTTTTGTCTAGATCCAATTGTTTAGTTTATATTTTGATCTGTCTGGCTCGAGCAGGTTGATTATGATCAATTGTTTAGTTTATCTAGTGATCTGTCTGCAGGTTTGATCAGTTTAATCAAGATCAATTGTTTAGTTTATCTCGCGATCTGTCGTGATGGATCAGGTTCTTCAAGATCATTTGTTTAGTAAATCTCATGATATATCTGGTTCAATCAGTTTAATCAAGTTCAATCATTTATTAATTCTCGTGATCTTTTTGGTTCGATCAATTTAATCAAGATCAATTGTTTAGTTTATCTCGTGATCTCTCCGGTTCGATCAGGTTTATCAAGACCAACTATTTAGTAAATCTCGTGATCAGTCTGGTTTGATCAGTTTAATGAAGATCAATTATTTAGTAAATCTCGTGATCTGTTTAGTTTGATCAGTTTAATGAAGATCAATTATTTAGTAAATCTCGTGATCTGTCTGGTTCGATCAGATTGATCAAGATGCTGGTCGACATGGAGAACATGAAGAACGGACGCCTCGACAAGGTCTCCAGCATGTACAAGGAATATTCATTGTTTCATGATAATTTTTTTTCTTCAAAATATCATCACATATATTTTCTGTTTTTTAATGTTAACAATTTCGGACCTTTTTTTCAAGATCGATCCAATATTTTCAAAAACACATTTTAAGAATTGGACAATTTTTTGAAACGATTGCATCGTTCCGGGCAAATTCTCTTGTTCCCGAGAAAGAACTATCGTTCCCAGCCTTACTTTGGTGTTCTAAATATAAAATGAATCTTATTCATGAAACATAATTTCAAGAAATTGGCCGGTATTTCTCAAGCAAAGAGATTTGAGACCTCCACAATCTGGCCAAATCAGGCGGATTTCTGAGATGATAGAACCAAACGCGGCAATTGGAAACCATCTGCGCACAAACCGTTTGCGCATAAGCCCATGCCGGTTTGGTTCTGGAAAAGGAATTATCAGCACAGTCCTGTTGTCCAAAAACCTTATTTAAGGGTTTACTAGTTTTGCGAACGTTTTTAGATTTATTTCTGAACCTTTTAAAGTTTTTATAGAGGCTGGGTAATTATCATTTTTTGTGTGTGAGATATTAGTTTTAGAATAGAGTCATGTTTTATATGGTATAAGCAAAAAACAGAACAGTTTTAAATGGAGTTTCTCAAAACTACGTTAAAGAAAATAGGTTCAAAAATAGAAAATTTGTTGTAATTTCCAAATTCTTTAATATTTCCAAACACTGAATTATAAACAATATGTATTCTGTATCTTTATAAATTACAAATAAAAGATGAGGCGCTAAATTTAGATTTTTTTTCAGTTTCAATTTTCAATTTTTATAAAATCCATCTGCAGTGCAAGCTTCGATTTTATTCTGATAAACATTCAGAAGTAAAAAACAAAGCACACTTTACACAATGTTAGTTGCACATTGCACAACGCACACTGTATATATATATAACATGGTATAATACAAAATATTCTGATGATTACATCAGTAGTATCAAGGTTATAATGCAAGGAAAGTTAATTGCTGTCGCGTATACTCTGCATACATATTGAAACCAGTTCTCTCTGGGCGGAATTAATAAACAATTATGTATTCATCAGTGTTCGTTTAGTATCCGAGGAGGTTAAAAGCATATAATTTTTATAATTTTGAAAATTCACATAATAGTTTCCTATGACCAGAATATTTCATAGATTATTTTTGTGAAAATGGATTCCATGATAGGCTGTAACATCCGTCTTGTGTTTACTTTTCCTCTCAAAGACAGTGTAACTGCAGTACAAAAAATGTGTACACCTCTGAAATAACTTACCTTGCATTAGTACCTTGAGTAGTACCAAGGGTGTGCCATAAAAGAATTATTTTACTGTACAAAAAAAGTATTCTGGAATACACAATAAACTCGGTTTAGAACTGGTTTAGCATTCTGTTTAGTGCTTACAAACAATCTAATTTGGATAATGCTGGGCTATTGCCTAAACATTATCTCTAGTTTCGCACTGAGAGGTGGTTACCATACTTTCAGTAGAAGTAAATATTTCCATTTACTGATAGCGCCGATTGAAGAATTCATAACTCTAATTGGATATTGAGATAGACAGAAAGATAGATGTTACCGCTATATACTATTTCTATTGGTTCAGAATAGACAACAAACACATGACTGAACCCTGATTGGATCAGGCGCTAATGGACTCGGCATACAAGAGTGGTGGGGGGAACAGGCCAGGCAAAGAGGGCAGTAAGAGGAGGGGATGGGGGGCTCTATTATTTTAACGCAGATCTATTCACATATATTTCCCTTGTCTGTCTGTTAGGATGACAGTGCATTCCCTATCTTTAACAACCATTTTATGTTCATTATTTTTCAGCCCTTCAGTAATAATTTGAATTCGTTCGGTTTCAGAGCTATCGTTCATTTTCATTTATTTATAAGATCGTTTTTTTATAAACTAATGGATCGTTAAATAAAATCGTTTGTTTAGTAAGATCGTTCGTTAACGGTCCGACTCACTAATAAAATGTGATTTCGATCTGATATTTGATTTTTGTTTTTTCCCGTTCGCTTTGAGAAAACAATTGTTTTTTATTTCTATGATGAATGATATAATTTGTTCGTCCACCAATCTGAAATTTCTGAACGGCAATGTAGTAAGTAGGGTTGTTAATCGTTTTAGAAAAAACAATCGTTTTTAATAGATTGTTTAAAAAAACTAAAGTTTTAAAAAAAACTTTTTGATTTTTTTTTTCATTGATAAATATGTAAACAATCGTTAAAGAAGGGTTTTTGAAAACGATCGTTAGCGAATCAATGAACTTAATAAAAACTGTCGTTTTTGAAAAAAAAATCCATGTAACTTTATCGAATGTCGATTTATATGGAGATAAAAAGTTGTGAGGGATATTTTCTTTAAAACTGCTCAATGATAAGTACCGACGCCCTTCAGGGCGGTTTCCTCTCTCCTCCTCACTTCGTTAACGATCGTTTAGAAAGGGTCATCATTAACAAAGGGACTTAGTAAACGATCGTTAACGAAATAGCGAGGTTATTAAAACGATCATTTCGTTTTTTTGTTTTTTTTTTGTCGTCGTTTTCATATCGACACGATCGTTTTTAAAAAAAATGAAAACGTTAACATCCCTAAATGTAAGTCATGGTTGTATAAAAATGTTTTATTTTAAAAACACTTATTTTTGAAGTTGCACTGAGTTCCTTTAGTTGGTTTATTATACCTATAGCTGCTGAGGCAATTGACCTAAAGATATTGTGTTAAAACCACAGGCACAGCTTTAAAACCACAAATCTCAGCTATGGAGTTAGTAACAACAAGGAGGGGTTGTGTTATAGTCTAGACTTGGGAGTTGATTATATTTTCTCAACAGAACCCGTAATCTGGTAAAGGAAATGAGTTTTTGTCGCAAAAACTAATATTGTAATACCTGTATCTCCGGAACCCGATGTCGTAGACCTTAGATAGTTCAAAGTATGAAATTTGTTAGATCACATAGTTAAAGTTTAAAATATTAAAGGTTTACATCGTTAGGTTGCAAAGATACTTTCCATACTGACCAGAAAGCCAAAAATAATATGTATTCGCTTTAACTTGATATATTAACTTGTTTTTGTTGGACCACATCAGAGCCTTAGTCCTTTCCCTTCAACTTCTGTGGGTGCATTGGGTTTGTTTACATTCCTTTCACAGTGTACAGTACATAATATGCGTATATCTGACCTGGGCGTTCCTGTATATAGTTCCTTGATTTCGACGGCTGTTCAAGTAGGATCTTAAAATCGTACAGTGTGACCCACAAAACTGTGAAATAGTTAGACTAGAATTATGATTTTGAATAATTATCCCAAAAAACATGTTTTTTCTAGTATATACTTTTTAAGACACCCTGTAAAAAATGAAAAAATAAATAGTGCCAATGGATTGCATTTTTCAAAAGCTTTCCAATAATAGAAAGAAATGTCATTTAGCTTGAAAACAAAATTTGCTTTTCTGCACTTTTTCTGAGAAATTTACCTAAATCACAAGGATAAAAAACTTGCATATTTTCCATTCTCTAAAATTTACAAAAACATAAAGTTTAAAATAGTTAAATTCAAAAAAATATTTTTACAAAGACGGCCCACGCTGTAAATGCCAAAATAGATAAAGCAGGGAGCTAACATTTAGCATAAACCTAGACTATGGCAATATCTGGATTTTTTTTTAATATTTGACCGAGTTGCTGTGTGATATGGATGACTAGCTTCTGTCTTTTTTTGAGACATCTTTTGTCAAAATATAACAAATATAACCATTGGATTACATTTTTCAAGGGCTTTCCAATAGTATATAAAACAGCCTTGTAGCTAAAAATAATACCCCACTCTTGGGGGGCATAGTGGGGTGGGGAGGGGGGTTTGAGGAAGCAATAAAAAAAGCAATATTAGCTGAAAAGGATTATTATTTAAGTTGTGAGATAATCCTCTTCATTGTGAAGGTCAAATTAAACTCATTGAGGTTAAGGGTTCTAGACATGGTTTACTGCAAGCAACTACATTAATATAGAGCTGGGTGTCGTTCCCGGGGAACGATCGTTCTTTCAAGAGAACGGACGGAACTATCAAGAACAATACCATCGTTCCGAAAAAAGAACAGAATGCATAGAACGTGGTTTTAAAAATATTGGAATGATTAGTTAAAGAACGAAACGGAACGGCACGGAAATTGCCTGAAAAGAACGTTTAAAATCAGGAACACATTCTTTTTATCAGGAACAATCGGGAACGCATTTTAAATCAGGAATGTGTTCTAAATCATCTAGAAATATTTTTTTTTGATTCGATCACCTGACCCCCCCCCCACTCTAAACCCGCTCCCTCCCTTCCCCGGCCTCCCTCCCCCTCATAAGCCCCCTCTTGATTCAGGTCATCCATAAACCATGCATATTCCGCCAAAGCATGAACTACTTATGTGCATAGTTTTTAAATATTTTGGATATGTACTGTCGGATTAAATTCAACGCTTAATCGAGATCATTTTTTATAAATAAGGAAATAATTTAAACTGGAGTTGAATTCAAATCTGAATTTGATTTGATGATTTAATTTTTTAAAGGGACTTTAAAGAGACTTTAAAAGGACTTTAAAGGGACTTTAAAGGAACTTTATAGTGACATTAAAGGGACTTTAAATGGACTTTAAAGGGACTTTAAAGGAACTTTAAAAGGACTTTGGGCGTGATTTCAGGTGACCCTCGATTGAAAGATAGCAATGTCCAATTTGCAATGGTATCCTTTAAACCTTAATCTGGCCTGTAATGATCGCTCTTTAAAATTATGGACACTTGAAAATTACGCTGAAGTCCCTTTAAAAATAGTCTTTGTTTTTTTTTGGTAACTCGTGTATGATTTCTTCCTAAAGGTTTAAAGGTTGCAAGTAGAGTTCATTCATGTAAAGTTTTCTTTAAATACTTTTTCTTCAAAGTAAAAAAATTACAGTTTATTCATAAGAATTATTTCCTGGTATTAAACATAAAGATAATAGGATGAAAAGGAAGTGTGCCGGAAACTACTAGCTATGCCGAGCATCACAAATTCTCAGTAAATCTTTAAATGCCAAGCATTATTTCTTCCTGTTTCGATTTTGTAACTTGGATTAAGACATTCACCTGCAAAATCGTGAGTCTTCCATATAAAGGCATAATGCAAACCTTTCATAAAAGTATATTGTAAAGTTATTTACCACGATTACATAATAACTGGTTCTACTACCCTTCCCAGACACAATGCAACCTATATAATATGCCCCCCCTCCCTCCCGTTATCCTTAACATATTCTTTTTCTTATTATCCTTTTTTACCGACTTCCTCCTCCTCTATCCTCAGTCTGCTTCGGCACCTTCAATTCTAACCTCTTTTTTTACTACTAGACCTCGTTCAAATCTGGGAAGAAATCGTCATAATTGGAGACCCTGGTGGATGTTTCATTGGAGACCCCAATTATTTCACCATTGACTTTCATTCGAGACCCCATGGCTTCATTGAAGAACCCAAGATGTTCATTGGAGACCCCTTTTTGTTGGAGAAAACAAGAGTTTAATTTGAGATCCCCTAGCATTTCATTGGAGACCCAAATATTGGGGTCTCCAATGAAAAGCGTGGGTTCTCAAATGAAAATATGGAGGGGGGGGGGGTCTCCAATATTACTCCAATGATGATTATTTCTTCCCAGACACCGTCAAGAGAACGATCATGAAATAAAGGATTTCTATTCTTTTTTTAACCAATCATAAATGAGCAGAAGTATTGTCTTTAGAAGCAACAATAATATTTAATCTAGAATTTTCGGTTACCACCCCGCCCCCTCCTCCTACCAGCATTTGTTTTGTTTAAATGTTAAACTAATATGGATACTAATGAGTGTTGTTCTACTGCAGTATTTAACCATATTTGGTTTACAACATCAGTATATCCCCCCCCCCCCCCCCACCCACTCATTCGAGAAATGATTAAATATGTACATATCCGGGTCCAAACTTCCTTACAGCTGTGAAAAATGTACAGTGAGTGTGAGACCTCAATATAACTGTCTGTGGAATAGGAAGTGGTAAAATTTAAACTATAGCTTTTAGAAAAGCATAAAATTAAGATTTTTGAATTATATACTCATATTAAATAGAAGAAACCGAATGCTTCTCACCCTGGTTAGTCTAGTCTAGTATGTGTTTTGAAGCAAATCTGTTGAAACATAAACCTACGAAATCAAAAATATTTTATTTAAAATAACGAACAAAATGTTAGGATATCGCAAACATTCGAACAAAATATTTGCAAATTTGAAATTCCTTAATTAAGTTAGATTTTACCATAAATGTTTGTATTTCGTCCACCAATGCAGATGGATACCTTTAAATTAACCGTTTTTTCATGAAATATTCAGAACGTCCAAACTCGTTAACTTTCAAATCCTTATCGAACAATAATAACCGGACATAAAAAAAACTGAAAATTTAAAAACGACTTTTGTGAATTCTTCTGCTTTTTAAAAAAAATTGTGATGTTTTAGAGTGAAAAAAATGAAAGTAAATAATTATTTTTATTTTAATACAAGAAATGAAAAAACCGTTCAGCTCTGAGATAAGAACAAACGGATACGTAAAATGTTTGTCCGTTCTGTTATTTCACGAAGCATTAACGAGCGGCTTGAATAAAAAAGTCCTACCTTTAAGTAGGAATTTAGAAAAAGCCACCATTTTCCCATATTTATCTTTTGTATTTTCTGTATATTTTAATTATTCTGTCTTCTGTCTGGAGGCCTCTAGTTGATAATTATATTTGAAATGGAAAGACTCACGGCTATTTATGAATATGCAATGTGTAGTGATAAGTATAAACGCCTTGGGATACATACAGAACGTTCAAATAAAGAAGAGATTGCATCTGATTAACATTCTAAGAAACAACTTCATATGATCCAATAAAATGTACACTGTATATTAAATTTCAAATAAAGAAGAGATTGCATCTTATTAACATTCTAAGAAACAACCTCATATGATCCAATAAAATGTACACATGTACAGTAATTAGGATTCAAATACATATGTGATTGCATCTTTACAACTTCAAATGTTTAGTAAGCTTCTAATATATAAGAAATTGCATATTTTCAAAATTCTGAGGAACAACTTCATATGGACAGTAGTGTTCTAATATATAAGATATTGCATATTTTTAAAATTCTGAGGAACAACTTCATATGGACAGTAGTGTTCTAATATACAAGATATTGCATATTTTCAAAATTCTGAGGAACAACTTCATATGGACAGTAGTGTTCTAATATAAAAGAGATTCCATATTTTTGAATTCTGAGGAACAACTTCAAATCTTCAGTAAGGTTCTAATATATAAGAGATTACATATTTTTAAATTAAGAGGAACAACTTCTTACGGACAGTAGGGTTCTAATATATAAGAGATTTCATATTTTTAAAATTCTGAGGAACAACTTCAAATGAATAGTAGGGTTCTAATATATAAGAGATTTCATAATTTTTATAATTCTGAGGAGCAACTTCATATGGACAGTAGTGTTCTAATATATAAGAGATTTCATATTTTTAAAATTCTGAGGAACAACTTTAAATAGACAGTATGGGTTCTAATATATAAGAGATTTCATATTTTCAAAATTCTGAGGAACAACTTCAAATGAACAGTAGGGTTCTAATATATAAGAGATTTCATATTTTTAAAATTCTGAGGAACAACTTTAAATAGACAGTATGGGTTCTAATATATAAGAGGTTGCATATTTTTAAAATTCTGAGGAACTACTTCAATTGTTTTAATGAAAAAAAAACAGTAATTAGGGTTGAAATAAATACGAGATTGCATCTGATTATAGGAGTTTTTGCCACAAACTCAAGTTGTCTAATCACTATATCTTTGCAACCAAAGGGTGCAGCAAACCTTTGATATTTCAAACCTAGACTATTTGATCTAACAAAATATGAAAGGTCTATAACAACATCGGGGAAGAAAGATAAGGATTGAAAAATTAAAATTTGTGGCAAAAACCCATTTTCTTACTGAGGAACAAATTCATGTATTCCAATTGAATGTATAGCAGGATCTTAAATGTATTTAGGCATATCAACATTTATTGATTAGGCTTTTAGTCTCCTCATGAAAATTTTAGCATTTAAATGTAGCTCTGAGTTTGAAAAAGTCCAGTCTTAATTGCAAAATTTTTCTAATAAGTAGGGTTTATTTTCAAAAATAATGATTGTCAATATTTTTTTCCAGGTAAAATTGTTCAACTTTGACGGTCCCTGGGGTCAGGTGAGTTAAGCTGAAGAACGAAAGTTATGGATTTTTAACAGTGCAATGTTTAGAGTCAAAATCTTTCAAATCTAAAAAGTGATAAGTGTAAGTGATACAGATTCATTCATCTTTTATTTTCTTCATAATTTACAGAAAGTAGTATAAAGAGAAAACCTATTGAAAAAAATATAAAAAAACACGTTAAATGGTTTACAACTTTTCTGGACCAACAACGTTTTTTAGATTTGCCCCTTTGATGGCAATTTTGAGATTTGAAAAGTCTGAGTAGGCATGGAAGAGAATGTAAAACTGAAATAAAAAAGTTTTAAAGTAATCATTATCAAAGAATAGACCAAATCTAATTCTAAATATTTCCTTTTTTTATAAGTAAAAATGCGCAAGACACTTTATTGAGAAACCACTATTAAAATAATTTATTCTTAAATCAAAAATATTTCATGCATTTTTGAGACAAAGGTTCAAAGGGTACGGTTGTGGGTCGAACATGCCATTATTTCAAAAATTAATTTAAAAAGATATATTCTCTATGTGCTATACCTTTGTCGAGGGAGTGTTTTCCACCTTGCAATATTCTTCACTCCTTTCCTTAGTACTAGAGCATAGAGGACAGTTAGAACAAGAGGATCCACTAAACATATATATTCATTCAGATCAGGCACGTTTTTAACAAATTTAGAAAAGAGATTTTTTTTTGATAAATATCAGAAAGTGATCATCTCTTATCAAATAGGCCGTGAGTGACCCCCCCCCGTGTGTCCAAGCCAGGTAAAAGTAAGAATTTCACCCCTTAGAAAATGAAAAAAAGTTACTTGTTTTCTTACAGTATAATTTGATTTCTGAAGCAGTGCAAAATGAGATTTTGAAAAATGTTAATCCAGTCAGAGCTTAGAGTTGGACTTTGTGCACAATCCAGAGGGGAGGATAGTTTCCTACCTGGGGAGGATAGTTTCCTACCTGGGGGCTTTATACTTAGCTGTACTGTACACTTACACAATCCAGAGGGGAGGATAGTTTCCTACCTGGGGGCTTTTAAAAAAAGTTTAGAACATGAACATGAACTTTATACTTGATTAGACAACCTTTTTTAGGGTACCTAGATTGTGCATTTCCATCTTTGCATGGAGAGTCACTTGAGTGCAGATGAAATTCAAAGTGACCAACTATTTTAGAGATAAACACATGGAGTTCTCTGCTCTCTATGATGAGCTAAAGGTTTAAAGAAATTGTTGTAATCAGTTATTTCCATCTTTGCGTTGAGGTTTACAGACTATATGAATTGATTTTTAAATATAAATAAAACATATCATATGACAGAGAGCCCGATATTGAAAACAGTATCGTTGAACGAAACCTTCGAGTTTCCTTTTCGAGGTGTTAACATTTTGTAGATTTTGATTTAAGAAATTCGAAAAAAAATATTGATATCCACAAAACTGCCTAAACCCATCCGTGAAACCCGGGTTCCAAAACTGGTTTTCATAACGATACCCTGTCTTAAGTTTTGGACACTTGGGAGCATCGAAATTGTACGTGTTTATGGTGTAATGTTGTAAATTGTTTTCGATATTAAAACTTTTAATAAAACTTCCAACATATTTCTAAACTGTGTTCTGCTAAAGTTTGCTTTTATTTAACTTTAAGGAAAAACGGTAATTTTAGCTCGTTCGTTTCTGAGCCTTTTTTGCGTAGATTTCCTCTCAGGTTTGTCATATTGTAAGAAAAGCAAATATGTAGGATAGATAAATAATTGTGAATACACTTTATTTTCTGACACCCTTGATAATGTATATGCGAGCAAACGGTGGTGTATTTTTCGACCTACGCAAATCCGCTGTACTCCTCTTCTGACCAACGCCAAATCCGCTATATATACTACACATCCGACCTACTAAAACGTGGTTTTACAGCTGCATATATGGACTTGTGGCCGCATTGCCAGGCCCCTTAGCCTGTCGTAGCCGTGGCGCTCGGCCCCTAGCATGTCCTAGCCGCAGCGCTCGGCCCAGAAATTGTCTTAACCTAACCTAACCCTTCAAATAATGCAAAAATAAACAGCTAGGGTAGGTCTGATATTGCAGTAGGTCGAAAAGTCTGTAGGTCGGAAGTTCAGTAGGGTGGATGTTGCGTATAGACGATGTAACATTACCAGAAAAACGAAAGAAGAAAAAACGACCCGGAAAGTTTGGCAACACTCTATATATTATAAGGATGCTGAATGAATAAAATGTTATATTTGCCCCCAATATGCCCATGGGTAACAAGGATAGGTCCTCAGATTAACCGTTTTGGCACATCAGGTTGTTTTCTGTGTGTTTGGACGATTTTGTAATTTTACAGGCAACGCCTAAAACTTTTGTTGGTTAATATTATCTTTGAAGATTTTATAGTTTAAAAATAGGATAATTAGCATTAAAAAATATATGGTTTGCCCAACTGACACTATTTTGTTTGAAATTGTTAATTTGTTTTAATTCTCAAATCCACGTTTTTAAAAAGTTATCTAAAACTTATCATTAAAACTTACTCTGCGCCGATTTCTAAGTTTTTGCATGATGCCAAACATTCAACTACAAACTTGAGCACAGTCCCTTTGGTTCCTCGTGGTTCCAAATGCACTTAAATAATGAAGAATTATCCTTAGAGCCTGGTTAATCTCATCTAACATTAACTACAAGGTTACCCATAAAGAATAAGTCTATGCAAAGATGACCTGAAATTTGAAACTTACTTCTGCCCAGGGGCGTAAATAAGGATTCTGCAGGGGGGGGTAAATATTTTTAATTTGGCGCGCGAAGCGCGCCGAATTTTTTTTTACCCCCCCCCTAGAAATTTTTTTACCCCCCCCTAGAAAAATATCATGATGTATATCAAATTATTGGTTTTAATTGGG